GAACCGTTGAAAAGTCAGTTGCAGACACGATGACACTTCTAAATACTTCAGCATATGTATGTGCTTTCAATTTTAGTGACCTATTAACCTTTTATCTTTTACATATTTGCTGTTAATATTTGTTCCAATCTGTTGCTTGCTTCTGACTCTTTCCTTTTGTTTCTCAGATGGTGACATGCCATGCCGTGCCAACATCCTGATCACGGAGCTGTTTGACACGGAACTGATTGGGGAGGGAGCACTGCCCTCCTATGAACACGCACACAGGCATCTCGTGCAGGTAGGGGACTGAGGGCCTCCTTCGGGCAAATTGCTGTGATCTCAGTTGACTCACACAGCTCTCATTGACACACCACGCTCTACATAGCCTGAGCCCTCAGTGCCTCTCTGTACACCTTAGGGCACCCTTTGATTCCTATGAGATTCTGACTGTCCTCAATTATGACTTCTGTGCCTCTTGAATGCCACTTCTTAGTAGGTTAGAGTCAAAAGACCAGAAACTATCTTCAGATTCAATTCAGCAAACATTCTTTTAATGTCACCTGTGTGTAAGGTGTTCTAGCATCCAGGGAGAAGTATAAGCCATTCTTCTTGCTTCTACATCCACACTAGTCAGCAGTGGTAAGGACTTGATGGGCCAAATGGAGAGGTAGGCAGAAGCACCACTGACATTTGGTTTAGGGCTGGTGGAAAAGGTCAAGGCTCAGGAAGGAGATGAGGGCCTGTGTGAAGAGGGTGGAATTTGGAAAGGCACTGAGGAAAAGGAGAGATGTCCCAGGTGGAGGACCTGTTTGGTAGGTCAGTGGGAACACCAGCCTAAGGTGCTTGTAAGCTAATGTGGAGAATGGGGTAGAGGATAGAAGACCTTGAATGCCAGGCTGTTCCAGATGAAGGAGTTTGGTTGGTGATAATCTTTGGCAGGTTTTTGTTTTTGTTTTTTTAATAAATTTGTTTGTTTGTTTTTATTTTTGGCTGTGTTGGGTCTTCGTTGCAGTGCGCAGGCTTTTCTCTAGTTGTGGTGAGTGGGGGCTACTTTTCGTTGTGGTGCGCAGGCTTCTCATTGCGGTGGCTTCTCTTGTGGAGCATGGGCTCTAGGCATGCAGGCTTCAGTAGTTGTGGCACACAGGCTCAGTAGTTGGGGCTTGCGGGCTCTTGAGCACAGGCTCAGTAGCTGTGGCGCACGAGCTTAGCTGCTCCGCAGCATTTGGGATCTTCCCAGGTGGGGCTTGAACCCATGTCCCCTGCATTGGCAGGCAGATGCTTAACCACTGTGCCACCAGGGAAGCCCCAACAGTTGTTTTGAGAAGGGAGAGATATGCTGAAAATTTTAACTCAGAGTTGTTGGTCTTGCTTTTTTATGAACATAAACTGGGAGGTGGAGACTCACAGGCAGAGTCCCGCTGGGGAAGTGTGAGTGTTCGCTGCTTCTGCTGGCACCTGCCACGTGGGCACTGTTCACATGAGCCCGTAACTGTCTTGGCCCGGTATTCTTTTGAGGGGTACTTAGTACCCCTGGAGTGAGGAAGGGGGCTCCTTCCAAGGCATTTGGGGCCTGCGTCCACATTACTCATGTGGTCAGCATGTGATGGTGATCGTCCTCCAGCTCCCCATCCTGCGTAAGATGTCTCGTCATCTCCAAAATGCAAAATTCTTCCTAGTAACTTTGGTAGAAATTATTTCTATTTTTCCACATTAAAACCATTAATTAGATGAATCCCTGAAATAGAGAACAAGGATATTCAGAATTATGTTAATGTTGTTCAATGTGTCTTTCTCTAATTCATCTAGTAATTAAAAGCCGTCCTCAGCTTCCTCTCCCAGCTGGCCCATAGCAGCCAGGTGTGCACTGTCCACTCTAATCACTCTCCCCATCTGCCCAGCCTGAGTCTCAGCTTGAAGGAGCTATGGCGGCACACAGTCTCCATTACCCTGTCCCTTTTTCTGCCACATTGGAGGTCATGGAACTGGGGTGCTGGAGTGTCTGACAGATAATCCATGTGGTATTGCAGTGACCCAGGAATTGATCTCAGAAGACACATTTATTGGTGCCTTCATTTTGCAGGGCCTTTTCTGAGTACCAAGAATACGAGGGTGAGCTCCTGGGGAGGCAGGTAGGTGGGCAGGTGGTCACAGTACAGTTTGAGGTCCACGCTGATGGTGGTCGGTGGGGTGAGGTCCTGCCCACTCTGGTGGGAGAAGGCGGGGAGGTTGGTGAAGATGAAGCATGAGCTGAGTCAGTCTTGAGAGTGAGCAGGGTTTGGCCTGGCAGCTGGGGGGAGTTGCGGCAGAGGAGGTCAGCCTGCACAAAGATGTGAAGATGAGTCAGATTATGGGTGTGTGGGAGGCAGGGTAAGAGAAAAGGCTGAAGGGCTGGGCAGGGCCTGACCAAGAAGGGCCCCTGTGCTCCAGAAGGCAATGTGGTAGCTCAGAAGGGTTTTAAGCAGAGGATCAGTGTCAGATTTATGCAGGCAGGCATGTGGAGAGCAGCTGGGGTGCAACACTAGAGGCAGGAAGACTAGTTAGAAGGTGGCTGGAGTTGTCCAGGTGCTGGGCTGAGGTAGGCCTTAGTCAAGGCCATAGCAGTGGAGCCCAGAGAGGTAGACTCGGGGAGGAGGAAGGTGGTCAAGGACTTCTGTTACTTAGTTGTGGAGGCATTGAGGATGATGCCAGGGTTTGAGGTGTAGGTGACTGGCTTGGATGGTGGCGCTCCCTGTTGACTGGGAGGAGGACCAGGCCTGGGAAGGTTGGGGAGAGGTGAAGGTAACTTGTTTGGTTTAGACATACTTTGAGCTGAGGGTCAGCCAAGTAGAGAGGACCAGGAGGCATTTGGGTGCATGTATTTGGTAAATGAAGATGGAGTGGTTGAGGTCAAATGGGAGGGTACACGGTGGGAGAAAAAGATGGTCCAGACCAGGTCTCTGGGGAATCCTCTCTGTGAGGGATGGGCAGGGGAAGCACAGCTTTGTGAAGGAGACAGAGGGGGAGAGCAGTGTTTCTCATCCAGAGCTGTGTCTGGAGACAGTTTTGTTGTCACAACTGAGAGGTGGTGCTACTGTCATCTTGTGGGTAGAGGCCAGGGATGTTACCAAACATCCTACAATGCACAGAGCAGCCCCCACAGTAAAGGATCACCTGATCCAAAAGGTCACTAGTGCTGAGGTAGAGAAACCCTGTGCTTGTGCTTTCTGTGCGGTAGCAGCTGTGAGTGTTCTCTTCATGGCTGGGCCCCTAGTGCCTGGTGTGTAGAGGGTGTTGGATGTATGAGGCAGGAGGGAAATCGGATGAGGGACTGCAGCCAAAGCCAAGTGAGGAGAGTGGTTGGCAGTGCCAGGTGAGGCCAGGAGGTCAGGTCGGTTGAGGATGGACACTTGTCCAATTAAGATAGAATTCACATACCACAGAGTTCTTCACCCTTTAAAGTTTCCAATTCAGTGGCTCTTAGTACATTCACAAAGTGTGTGGCAATCACCACTTTGTAATTCCTGTTTGTCTGATTTTCTTTTTTATTATTTAAAAAAATGGAAAACCAAAAGTGTAATTTTCATTCAATAAATATCATTTGATCCTTAGGCAGTTTTGTTGCAGAAAGTAAAGTCCATGATTTTAGAATGATGGTAGCAATTCATCAACCAAGTAATCAGTTTTCACACAGTTTCAATAATTGTAGCAATTTCCTTGAACTGTCTGTAGAAATTCTGAAACTGTGGAATTGTCATTTCAAAGGACTTGTTCTTTACTTGGCCTGAATGATCTGCCACTTTGAGCATCACCGCAACATAAGGATACTTAAGTGATACTTAAGTGATCTGCAGCTGTCTGAGCTCACAGCCATACCCAGCTTCCACTGAAAATCTATGAGCTGGTTGGTGACCTTGGCCTTAGCATCCAGCTGTGGCTCACTACGCCCCTCCATAGCAGCGCCCTGGAATCCCACCACCCACTCAGGTGGAAGCTCCCGGGGCAAGGTTTATTTTTGAAATATTCAAGAGTGTCAGGTAGCTAGGAACTTACCTGACATAAGTCGTCTTAGGCATAATGTGTATTCTTTCTGAAGTCTGGTTTCTTCTGTTCCCAAGGGCATTGGCTGAAAACAGTTCACTGCCCTAATAGTTACAAGGCATTAGATGTTACTAAACCTGCCTAATGTTAGGGAATAAATCTCTTTTGCTCAATGGGAATTACTGTGGGTCAACGTAACTGGTTATTTTTTTGTTCTTTTGTTTTACTTTTTTAATATAAACTTAGAAAAATTGTGAGGCAGTGCCTCACAGAGCAACCGTCTACGCACAGCTGGTGGAGTCCAGGAGGATGTGGTCATGGAACAAGCTGTTTCCCATCCGTGTTCAGACCAGCCTTGGAGAGCAAGTCATCGTCCCCCCCTTGGAACTGGAGAGGTGTCCTGGCGCGCCCTCTGTTTACGACATTCAGCTGAACCAGGTGTCACCCACTGACTTCACTGTCCTCAGCAACGTGCTGCCTATGTTCAGGTACCAAGGAGCCACCCAGGGTCATGGCATTTGGAGACACTTGGTGAATTGCGGTCTTTGGCAGTTCTTTTTGAGTTCATTTTGACATCAGGAGTCCATTGCAAACAAGTCTCATTGCTGGTGAGGTCACCATAAATGCTTAAAGATGGAGTGTGTGAGCTTAAAATATGCTTCAGTTCCTGAATATTCTTCCACAGTGTGGACTTCAGCAAGCAAGTCAGTAGCTCAACAGCCTCCCATAGCAGACAGTTTGAACCTCTGGCATCTGGCCAAGCTCAGGTGGTTCTCTCCTGGTGGGATATTGAAATGGACCCTGAGGGGAAGATCAAGTGCACCATGGCCCCCTTCTGGGCACACTCGGATCCAGAGGAGCTCCAGGTAAGAGGCGGGAGCTGAGCACGTTTTCGTGGAAATCAGGAAACTTGTCCACTTTTGGTCCTGGGAAAGGAGCATGTTGAATCTTCGATTCCTAAGAATTTGGAGATAGAAGGGATTATGTTAGAATCAATGTCAAAGAAGAGTTTAAAAGAAAAAAAAAGCAAGGCTAGCTGTAGTAAGATATAAGATAGACCTTTCAGGCCAAGTCCATGGTCAACATGAGGGGTACCCTCGTCCTGGTACAGCCACTCTTAGACCTGCCCACCGAGTAATCCAGGGGTCCTCAGATTAGCTTGTGATAGAGAACTACAGCCTGTCTACAGCCGCATTTTCTGTGACCTCAAAATCTGCCTTCTTCAGCTCAATGGAAAGTGGGGAGGATGTGAACTACAGAAAAGGAAATACGTATTATATTCCTTTTTCTTTAAAAATATTTTTCTTAATTTTTATTTATTTATTTATTTTCCGGCTGCGTTGGGTCTTCGTTGCTGCGCACGGGCTTTCTCTAGTTGAGGCGATGGGGGGACTACTGTTTATTGCAGTGCGCTGGCTTCTCACTGCAGTGGCTTCCCTTGTTGCAGAGCACGGGCTCTAGGCGCGCGGGCTTCAGTAGTTGTGGCTCGCAGGCTCTAGAGCGCGGGCTCAGTAGCTGTGACGCATGGGCTTAGTTGTTCCATGGCATGTGGGATCTTCCTGGACCAGGACTCGAACCCGTGTCCCCTGCATTGGCAGGTGGATTCTTAACCACTGTGCCATCAGGGAAGTCCAAGAACCATGCAGATTTAAACTGCAGTGAAATACTGTTTTTCATGTATTAGTGAATATAGTTCAGAGTTTGCACGCTGTTGGTGGAGCCGTGGGGCAGTGCAGGAGGGTGATCACCAGAGCGTTGTGGAGTGCAGCAAGGCCCACAGTCTGTCAGGATGGGAAGTGACGCCCCTTCTAGGCATTTAGGCTCTGGATGGAGCTGCATACGTGTAGAATGACGTGTGTGCCAGGATACTCACTGCAGCCCTGATTAAATAGAAAAGACTGGAACCACCTAGAGGCCACCAGCAGGCACTGGCCAAGTTCATTTTCCTGCATCCACGCAGAGGGTGAGGTGGCTGTCTCTGCACTGATGTGGAACAGTCTCAAGGACAGATCAAGTGAAACAACGAGAGGCACAGAACAGTGTGTGCTGTGCCAGCGTTGGCGTTATTAAAAATAAGAATATATGTGTTTATCAGCCTTTATGTGTGGTGCATGTATGCAAGGGTATCTTGGGAAGAATTCACAGAAATTGGTAAAAATGGTTGCTTCTGGGAAGGGAACTGGAGGTTAGGGGTGGAAAGGAAACTTATTTTTCACTCCATGACCCTTTAATATCTTTTGAGTTTTCTCTCATGTGCATGTATTATCTACCCCTCTGTACACAAACACAAGGGAAGAAAGTGGGAAAGGTGCTTCAGGACCAAGGAATCAAACATTCCCTCCACCTGGGAGGCCTTGGGCCCTGTCCTCTGTGTGTTCTGACTTCCTGTTCCCACTTGCTGGGCACTGGCTTTGCTTTGATTGCTCAGCTGCTGGTTCTGGGTGTATACATGGTGACTTCAGGGAAGGCCTTAGCATCTCATCCTGTTCCCTGAGTTACTGCTTAGGCCAAAGGGTCATGACTGCTGTGCGATTTCGGTCAGTCCTCCTGGGCCCTTGAGCTGCCCCGGCTCCACTCTGCATAGCCTCAGTCCTCCGTAGGCTGAGAGCGTGTGTGGGGTGTGGGGGGTGTGTGGGTGTGTGTGGTGTGTGATCTGTGTGTGGGGGGTCAGAATTCTCCCACAGAATTGAGGTTGGCACTGGGCTGCTTTCTTCCTCTCTAGGAGTGTGGTAATTGCAAAATTAGCATAAGAATTTCATTAAAATGTTAATACTTCTCATTTGTATATCTTCAGAGTGCTTCTACGTGTATTTTCTCCTTGAATCCTCATGTAAGACATGCTGGGTAACCACACAAAGCCGGGCCCAATGAGGGGAGCAGGGCCTTAGGTGTAGGCAGCCTTGGTGGGTGCTTGCCCCCAGGTGTCCTGACTGTGGGGCTTGTGTCCTTCCTCTACCAGTGGTGACTTTTGGACTGTTTCGAATTTGAAGAGCTGCTAATGAATCTCCCTCATGACTTCACTAAACTGCTTTTGATCAGCCTCAGACAGTGAATTCTGGCTATCGTAGCTCTTTAGCATTAGGACCCAGGAGGCTGGTGTGTGGGAGGGACATGGGGACAGGGAAGCACTGTGGGAGCCGGGGAAGGGTCAGGGAGGCATAGTAAAGAATGAATAACAGGTTTTAGAGGATCTTTTTTCCCTCCTTGTTAGTGTTTATTTTTTCCAGAATGTATCTGGTTAGATTTTAATTTTCTAGCTTTTATATTCAAATAGACACCTTAGATAGATGGGAATGTCATTCACCTGTCTTTAAGTTAAGTTCAAGATCAGGTAGGATAGAATGTGTTGACTGAAGAAAAAAAAAAACAGTGTGAGAGTTGTGACTTAACTTTATTTGAAGCCAGATGAGGACTGTAGCCTGGGAGACAGCCTCTCAGCTCTGAGGAGCTACTCTGAAGAGGTGTGGGTGGGGGCAGGAGGTCAGTATAGGTATGATTTTAGTGGAGGGGAGATACTTGCAATCAAGTACACATTTTGGCAGAAGGTTCCTGCTAGTCACGATCACACACACACACACACACACACACACACACGCACGCGCGCGCCTGAGCCCACCTTGAAGGCCACTGCCCTAGGCCACATTCTATCCTGAAGCCAGCAGTGTTCCAGCAAGATTTTGAACCTTTAGCCTCTCTGACTTGAGGATTTTCTTCTTTATCTCTTTGGCCATAGTAGCTGTCTATAGTCCACACAGTGGTTTCCCTGCAAATTGATTTTTTTTTTTTTTTTTTTTTTTTTTGCGGTACGCGGGCCTCTCACTGTTGTGGCCTCTCCCATTGCGGAGCACAGGCTCCGGACGCGCAGGCTCAGCGGCCATGGCTCAGGGGCCTAGCTGCTCCGCGGCATGCGGGATCTTCCCGGACCGGGGCATGAACCCGTGTCCCCTGCATCGGCAGGCGGACTCTCAACAACTGAGCCACCAGGGAAGCCCGCAAATTGATTTTTGAATTGGGTTTTGGCCCCCGGATTAGATGCATTGCTCTTGTTGCAGCTTGGTGATAGCTGATTCTCTTCCTATTTCAGTGGCGGGACCACTGGATGCAGTGTGTGTACTTCCTGCCAGAAGAGGAGCCTGTTGTCCAGGGCTCAGCCCTCTGCCTGGTAGCCCATCATGACGACTACTGTGTGTGGTACAGCCTCCAGAGGACCAGGTGTGCCCCAAGCCTCATTGGGTGGGGCATTAGGCTTGTGACACTGTGCCTTTATATAAAATCCCTGTACGGACCCTGTAGAGGTTTGAGTGGGCACATTTGTATCTGAACAGAATAAGAGCGAAAGTTTGTGCCTGGCTATTTCAGTGCCTGTTTGTGTGTACTCTGAAGAGGCTGCCCCAGTGGCAGGACCCCCATTTGGAGCAGATATATATGAGAAGCCTTGAATTGGAGGGCCCTCCGACCTCTTAATGCCCACTCCACAGCCAGTGCCTAGACTCATGCCCCCTAGAGGACCATGCGTGTGTCCCCTCTCCGTCTCGATTTCCCTGGGGCAGGTCCCTGTGCCGTGCCTTCATGCTCGCTGGTGCCTAGCAGGTCATCTCCCTGTGTCTGTTCATTTTCTGGCCCAGCCCTGCAAAGGATGGGAGAGCCCACCCAGCACGCCCTGTGTGTGACTGCCAGGCTCACCTGCTCTGGAACCGGCCTCGGTTTGGAGAGATCAATGATCAGAACAGAACTGATCAATACGTCCAGGCCCTGAGGACGGTAAGTGTCCAGCCCCCTTAGGTGGTTGTAGGCCAGGAGGGGTTTGTCCCATGGACCCGACCGAGCTCATTGCTCACTTATGATTAGCTGGTTTTGTTTTCTGTGCTCCCTTCTCTGTCCATGAGTGGCTTCAACCGGCTCCTTCTGGATGGGCATTTGGGCAGAGGCCAGGGAGCTTGTTTCTGGACTACCTGAGGGCTTGTTCTCTGCTCTTCTATGGGAGCCTCTCCCTGGCCCCTGCCTTCCCTCTGGACACTTTGCCTTTATGGTCACCAGCAATTCCTTTGCGTGATCCTTGTGGATTCAGCCACCCCATTATTCCTCTCATCTCCTGCTTTCTAAAATTTTCTAGAATGTAAATTTTGTCATGTAACTGTCCTGAAAGACCTTTGCTCCCTGCTACCTGTAGAAGGGGTTTCTCAGCCTGGGGACCACACACAAGGTTTGGACGGGGGTCTGTGGACCCCTTGGAGTCATATGCAGAAAAATATGTGTGCATGTATGCACATGTGTGCATTTTTGCGGGGAGGGAGGGTCCCAACCATCCTAAGTTTCTCTCAGAGGGGTCTGTTGACCCATAAAGGCATTC